TATATAAGTTTTGTGTACTTCTAAATTTCATCTTAAAATGTAATTTTGGTGTAAAAAATTATTCAGAGAGCTTGAGAATCAATTATTATCTATATTTATAAAATTTTAAAAAATTCCAAAACTGATTCAAATCAAAGAGATCTATAAACACATGAACCGCATTTCTACATATGCGGTCCAGAAAGTGTAAAGCATCTAGGTGTTCCATCTAAAAACAATGAAAACTAATGGTCCAATTGTTTTCTTACTAGTATGGTTGTTTTCTAGTTTTTAAAGTTTATTTATTTTCTCATATTCATGATTTCTATGTTAGAGATTACTTGTCTTTAAAAATTAAGTCCTAAAATCCATCTCCAAAATAGATTTATTAACAAGGCCCACATTTCTACATATGCGGGTTTGACTGTATAGAAACTGGGTCCAAATCTAAAAACGGACCGTCTAGATAATGTGTTGCAAGATACATTATTTTTGGAGCTTGAAATCTTTTTTTTCTTTTTTTCATAGTTATACATCTCAATTTCAAGATAATAAGTTAGAGGGTTTTTCAATATCAAAACAACATTTTCTGATGGATTTTTGAGGTGCACCAACCTTAAATAAACTCTTTCCCGAGAACAATTGCCCGGCCCAAATTGAATCACTTCAGCCAACTCTTTCTCGAGAACAATTGCCCGGCCCAAATTGAATCACTTCAGCCATTTCAATAAGGATAATCAAGGCTTACTGACAGGGGCACGCATAATCTAACATTTTCTTATATAATACTTTTTTTTTCTTTATTTTTTTAGCATAACTAAGTCAACAACATTTGTCTTTCAAATTTGAGGTCTATTGAATTCATAAAAATAAAAATAAAATAATAACCTAAAAAAATTTATTCTCCTCCACCTATGTAGGAATTCTATAGTAAATTTTGCTTATTTTTATTTTACAGAATACATTCATTCGGAGACCAACCAGAGATAACTTATTCATTATTTATGCTATTATGGCAGAAAGGAGACTTTACACGGTCATGGAGACACAAATAAAGATATATATATATATATATATATATATATTATTATTGTTTTTTTAACACCTAGAATCAGTGAAGGTTTTAATAAGATATCAAATTTGTTACTGTCTAATTGTGTTCCTAGAATCAGTTCTATCTAATTGTGTTTCCTAGAGAACTGATAAAGGAGAGTTACAGGTATCTATCAAATTTGTTCCTATCTAATATAATATAGTAGATTACATGGTATAACATTATTGAGAAAGAAGGGGCTTTTTCAAGATGAAATAAAATGTTTGATTCATGTAATAGAAGAACATTTCTCATTTCTTTACTAAAAACAGAAAAAAAAAAAATTGGTGACAGAGGGAATGCAGTAGAATTGACTGGTGTTACATCTAGTATTTGACATACTCGACAAAAAGTACCATTTGGGTAATATTTCTAAGGGCAATTAGATGTTGAGGACAGCTAGACCCAAATAAAAGAAATTTACCAATAACATACTCTTTCTTTCTTGTCTAACATAGATTTGATTATTCCCATGAAGTTAAAACTAAAGCCAAACAATTTGAAACATACATGGGTCAATTTCATGGTATTTTGATATCAATTGGAGGTATAGAAATGGTGATTTCCATCTAGATTGGGTGATGAGATAGAGGTTCCGTTGAGAAAAAAAAAAAATCTTCAAAAATGTGCAAAATGATTTAAATAAAAATATTTGTATGAATGCAAACTTAAAGATGGGATTAACCAAAAATGAAATAGATCAGAATCTCATTTAGATAGTTAATAACTTTGAAGTAGATTTTAATCTATTTAAACCGCATTTAAATTGATTTTAAGCATTTATGGTTGAACAAAAATATAAAATGATTTACAAACATTGTTTTTAAAAAATTTAGAGAGAAAAATATTAAGAAATAAAAAAAAAAAAAAAAGGTTTTGGATGATGCGGCGTCCAATTTTTGGACCCATCCGGACTTGGGTCTTTGGGTCCCATGTCGGGTCTGGGTCCATTGGCGCGAGAGAGGAGAAAGTGGAGAGAGAGAAGGGCCAAGTTGTAAGAGAGAGGAGGGGGCCAAGTAAAAGAGAGAAGGGTCGAGTTGATAGAGAGAAGGGCCAAGCTTTAAGAGAGAGAGTTTGTAAAGTATAATTTTATTTCTAATCTTTTTATTTCCATTTTTCTCTTTGTTACCCGTCTCACAAACTGCTCGTAAATGTGCGCATGGACTCTCACAAACTGCTCGTAAATGTGCGCATGGACTCTCACAAACTGCTCATACATGTGCGCATAGACTCATGCATCCGTAGGGTGGGTGCATCGTATATGGACAATGATTTCTTAATCCTGTAATTTATACAGAATTTCATTTAAAATATTAAAAATAATCGATTTCTTCTACACAAATACGCACAAGTACAATGATTCCTTAATCCTATAATTTATATGGAATTTTACTTAAAATATTAAAAATAATTGATTTCTTCCTTGATTTCCTTCTCTTAAATACACAAATAAACACTCTGAGAGATGAGTCGTGGGAGTTCTGAGGATTAAGGGTTTGGGTTTGCTTAGGGTTTTGTTGAAAGTAGGGGTTTTGGAGTACTCAAACCGTTACGTTAGGTTAGGTTTGAGGAAAGGGTTGGGTTTGCCATCTAGGTTTTAAGGGAATGTTGTGTCTGTAGAGGGAATAGGTTATCAGTTTTCAGTTTTGAGGGAATGTTGGGTCTGTAGAGGAATTAGGTTTTCAGTCGAGGTTTTGAGGGAATGTGGGGTCCCTAGAGGGATTAGGGTTTGAAAGGTATCCTAAGGGAAGTTAATTTCTTGGGGACAGGTTTTTAGAGAATTAGCTTTTCAGTACTCCAACAAAACACTTGTACTGTTTTATATGAGGTTTAACCTTGATTTGATTTGAAGTTGTGAATGGATGTTGGTTTTTATGTGAGGTTTGACCTTGATTTGATTTGAAGTTGTGAATGGATGTTGGCTTCTGATTAAATTAGATTGGAGTTTCTGTTTTGAATGGATGTTGGGTTCTGATTAAATCAGGGGAGTTTTTTTGGGTTTTATTATAGGGTTTTGAACAATGACGGTTAGCGAGGGGAATGGAAATGGGGATTTGGAAGAGCAAATATTGAATTTGAAGATTGAAGATGGTGATGGAGCATCTAATAGTGGACCCTATCCCGAGCGATCAGATCAGCCTGACTGCTCCTTTTACATGAAGACTGGGACCTGTAAATTTGGCATGAATTGTCGATTTAATCATCCCCATGGAGATAAACAGGTAAATCCATTTCTTTGTTTAATCAATTGCTTGTGTTTGGTTTTTTTTTTTAAATGGGATGACTTGGAGATGAAGATCAGTTCCTTACTTGATTTCAGGAATCGGCCTAAAATCTAGCTTTATTTGGGACATCTTTTGGATTTTATTGAGTTATATCATATTGTATTGTCTACATATTTGTTTCCAATTTATTTATTAAAATTATTATTTATTTGGTTTAAGGTAACATGTTTGGAGCATTGGAAAGTTTTGTACTTTAGGTTTTGTCTTTGGGGATTGTTGGGAGATCAACAGCATTATTTCTTTGGGGATAGTCAGCAAAACTGTAGTTTCTTAATTCCTGGTTCTTACGAGTTCACAGAAATTTGATAAGATAGAAATGCTAGGGCTTCTTACAATTTGTCTGTTACAGCTGGACCTTTATCTGGTTAAAGTTTCCAGTGGTGCACGTTTTGCTTGATTTATGTTTGAGTCCTTTTCAAAAAGGAGAAAACCAGAAAGTAGCATTTGCCTGGTCTTTGTGTCAATAGGTACCAATATTCTCAAAATAAAGTGCAAAAAGTCCAATTCAAGCTAAATCTTTTGTTTATGGTGGTCAGATCCCTAGGAAAGGTCACTAAAAGCTTTTTAATTTTATTTGTTCCTATTTTTTTGGCTTTTTTCTTTTTAATGTTACCATCCTAATTGAACTTTTTGAAGATCTTGGATGATATTTATTACTTGTTTTTTTAAATGAAAATATGAGGTAATATTTATTCACAATAAACATATCTGGCAATTGAGCAAATTGAAAAAACTGGGGATGGTTTTGTAGGCATTATTGATTTCACGGTTTTTTTTGTTCCCGAGTGAAATAAGTTAAAATGATTTTCTGAACTTCGCTTTCTCTTCCGATCAAAGGATGCCTTTACAAAGAAAGAAGAGTTCCCTGAGAGAATTGGACAGCCTGAATGCAAGGTCAGTATCTCCTCACTCTAAAATTCTTCTCTTTTGGATATTTGTTGTTATTATTATTATTATTTTTATATTAGTTTTTCATCAATCATCATACAGATATAACTTTTTGATGTTAGGGATGCTATGCTTTTGATATTCGTCTTGTTCATTGTAAGATTTTTATTTCTCAAGACACATCTAGACATACCTTAAAAAAAAGACAATTTTTTGGGGTAAGTGATAGTATTATTTTATGTTCTAAAAAATCACATGTAAAGAAAATAAATATATATGCAAGGTCAAAGAAAGAAAAGCACGACTGAAAGAAATAAACTTTAACAGTGGAATGCAAACAGGAGACATGACATTTTAGGATTCATTTGCTTTTGTTGAAGCCTCTTCTCAGACACCATAATTATCTTGCTCTTCAGTTGATGATTCACTATGTAATGATATTGCTATTAGTAATAAGTTCGTCACAAGTAGATTTCCTTTTTCATCCTTCTTTTTGGAGTGACCCTATTCCTGTAATTTGGTTGTGCTGGTAAAGACTCTTAATTGCCAGCAATTTGTCTATAATTTACATTTTTTTTGTAACTGATTGGATTGTCTGATTATATATTTTTCAAATTAAAAAATAAATGATCAGACAATCCAATCACTTATGAGAGAAGTAACCATAGAAGCTTTCATATTGTCTAAAGATAAATGGGGTGCTAAACACGGGAATTGTCTTATAACAGGGGTTTATGATTGCTTTTCTTGGTAGAATTCAGCATCGGTAGACTATAGAGTATGGGAAGCACACAATGAATGGACAGATGGTTGACCTTTAGTAACGAATTGGGGGATCTGAAATAAAATCTTGAAAGTTATTTTCCAAAAAAGAAAAAAGAAAAGAAAATCATGGTGATGGGTATCATGCATTTTAACATTCTTTATGGACCTGTAAATGTTCATGAATCAAGGATGACCAGAATGTTAAACAGGAAATAGGAGGGATGGGTGGTGAATTTGAGTCAATGCGCATGATTATAAGCAATAATAAATAATTTTCTTGTTTGATCTGATTTTAAATTGGTTTATTGTTGGAGCTTTTCAATGCTGTTATTAAAACATTTGATGCTTCTTGACAATTGTGTGAGAGCAATGGCATCAAAATACATAAATCTAGGCTGTGGCGTATTCATAGTGTTCCTATGTAGGTTTTGTCATATTAATGCATGAAATTGCACTGTGCATTTTCCGTAGCTATTTTGGTAATGATAATCCCTATCAGTTACTGTTGCAATTACTTGCTTTTCTTTTTTCTGAATATTTCTTTGTTGCAGTTTTATTTAAAGACAGGAACTTGTAAATTTAAAAGTGCTTGTAGATTTCATCATCCATCTGACAGAAACGGCTCAGCAGGGAAACCACTTTTAAACTTCTTAGGACTCCCAATTCGGCTGGTAATGTCTTTCTGGCCTTTATTTATTTTGAGAATGTTAACCCTGTCTTTCTGTCCTTTCTTTATCCTTTTAGTGGTTAGTTCTATTTCAAATATACCAATAAAGAAGCTACTAGTAGTTCAAACTCCTATCATCATTATCATTGTCAAAGCCTTTTCCCAAGTCGGATTAGTTCTAACTCCTATAGCAAGTAAAAGAAGTTCATAACCATTTGGGGGCATCAATGCAAAATGAATTTGTTGAGCTCATAGTGGGACACTCATCCTGAGATGTGGCACATTTTTTGGAACCTATTTGTGTAGGGTGAGAAGGAGTGCCCCTTCTACATGCGCCAGGGCTCCTGCAAATATGGAGAGAACTGCAGGTTCCACCATCCTGATCCCACTGCAGTTAGCAAGCAGGTACGTTTTTCAGGATATCCCACAAATGCTAGCAATGAATCTTTTTCACCCCATGCATCAGCAATGCCACATCCACTTGGAGGATTCTGGCCGGGTGCACCGAGTGAGGCAGTTCCTCCATTCATTAACAATGGCGCTTCTTCATCTTATGTTCCACCTGTGCCTTCACCTTTTCCAGAATCGGGATGGAACGATTACCAGGTTCGTACTTCACTTTTATCTTCTCCTTTGCAATTGTAATACTTGGATGTTCTAACAATTTCTTTCAGTATACAAAGAGCTTATGTTGTTTTCTTCTTGGTACTGTGGAGTTGGACGTCCACTGACTTTTTATTTAATCATGTAGTTGGAGCGAGTTGCTTCTTTGAATTTGTTGTTGATGTACCTGAAGTTTAGTAGAACCATTGTCTTGAATATGCTTGTTTATTTAATGAATGACTGAGCAATTTGATCACCAATACACTTTAAATGTGCAGAAACCTAGTGTGAACTTTAATTCCAGGTATTGTTACCAGTTTTTCTCCTTTATTTGAATAACTATAGATTATGGACTATTGAAAGGGTCTATTCAAGTATATATTCATGATCGTTATTGGCCAACATTTAATCCATACACCTTAAATGTGCAGTAACCTAATGTCAACTCTTTTTGAGAATAATAACCTCATGTCAACTTTATCTAGAGTATGTTGCCAGTTTTCTCAATGTGTTTCTGACCTTTGATTCTGAGCTCTTGGAAAGGTTTATTCAAGTACATATTTATACTTAGTGAAACCTAGGTGTTTTGATGTGTAATTGTTATTTTGGATTTGTAGTTTACATATTGTTGCTTTGTATAGGGCCCTTGATAATAGCTAACCGTTGTTGGAAAAATCGGCCTTTCTAACTGGCAATTGCCAGATTAGATCGGAGCCGGTCATTGGCCGGTTCTGGTTTCAGTTGAGTTTGGTGATTGGTTGGGTATTTTTAAAAGAAAATTTAAAAAATTATCTAAAATCCCAAAAACTAAAGGGATTTTGTTTGTAATGTATTTCTTAATTTTTTTCATCATTATGGCAAAAATTATAAATTGTTTTGGCCATTAATATTTATTTTTACATTTTCCCATCTTTTTTAAAAAATTTCAAAAAATACCCCTGGGCCCAAATTGATTCTTTAAAATTCATTGTTTTCATTAAATTTCAACTTCATTTGGATGTGTTTTGTTTAATTATTCTTTAAATATATTTTTCATTTTTTATTATATATATATATATATATATTTTATTTTAATAGTTTTTTGGCCGACCGGGACTTGCCAGTTAGAACGGTTCAACCAGCCGGTTTACCGGTTAGGTAGGTTGAACCGCTTCTGGGCCCATGTTCGGTTAACCGTTCCGGTTCGATTTTTCCTACACTGAGCTAAACAACCTTGAGTAAGGCATTGGGGGGGCGCTAAGATACAGAGAAGCTAGAAGTACTTTTGTTTGTTTTTTTTTGGGGATCTAGTTACTAAGTGGGCCTTGATACACCTTTTTTGTGTGGGGCCTAACATCTGCACCAATTATTTGATTTGGACAGTGCAGATCTGGCCGATTATTGATGTAGGGAGGGGCTAGAATTGATCTAAACTGTCCAAATTAAATGGACGGTGAAGGCGCCAGGGCCTGCACAACATGTGCACGCTCTGACAATTATGATGCTTTTCCTTTCTTTTGGTGGAAGTAAACGAAAGAGTTTTAAAATTTTCTTAACTGTTGAAATTGCAAAACTCATGCATCGGTTGACTGAAGCTTAGATAAGATTGTTTATGATCCTTTATAGTTAGAAATTAGAATAGGTTTCTTCTGTTTGTGATCTTTCAGTTTCGTAACAGGTCCACAGTTAATCAAAAAGATGAATAGCAGGCTCAACCTTTTCTTTGGGTCAAAGGTTTCTTCTGTCATGATTACTGTCTTGATGGATGGATTTTATTATGTATTTTGAATTACTTATAATCTGATACGCCTATGTGTTTTGTATTACAAGCAATATTGTCATATTTGCTTTGGAGCCTTCTTTGGTTTGGTCAGAAAAACAAAGCAATTTGGTGTTTTCGCCGATACAGGGGAAGCCTGGCGGTGCTTCTGCCGATACAGGGGAAGTCTGCGGACTTTTTTTTTATAAAACTGAGATAACTAAAGTATATATTTTATATATAAAATATATTAAAATAATGAAAAATTAAAAATAAAAATTTCTAAAGGATGAAAAAAAAGAATACATTTCTTTGATATTCTATGGAAGCCTAAAATATAACTTAATAGTCTTATTCCATTTATGTATTTTACCAATAGTGGTGGATAATAACGTAATTTTACTTGTGTGGGCTAAGCTCTGGCATTTTCCAGAAAAGGTCAGGGACGTCCTCGACTTCGTATAAATGGTAAAGATCCATCTTGTCTCGAGGCTTAAGACCGTCTCTTAGGCTGTAAAGATGATTGGACATCTCAAACTTTTTCAAAATCCCGAAAAGAAACTCATCTTTTGTAGATATGGCCATTTGTCCCTCACAGTAAGTTCGAAATCCAAACAATGAACCTCAACAATCCAATGAAGTTTACATGACTTTACAAGTTTGTTATCAAGCTCAGCCGAATAAGACCGAAGCGGCCTGAAGTAGCGGCACCGGGCTTTGCCTTGCTTCGGTCTAGGCCAAAAATCCGAAGACATGTAGAAATTTCCTTATACTTGTTTTGTGGCACGTGCATACCTCCCTAGTGAAAAGTAAAATTTGTGTACTAAATTTGAAGAGAATGATAATACTAGTGTTTTCTTATTCTTTTTCTGAGAAACGTTAACTTTAATGTTTTTTTATTCTTGAAATGCTTAATTTGAGGTTACTAGTATGTTATCAAGGTCAGCCGAATAATCCCGAAGAGGCCCGAAGCAGCAGCACCGGGCTTCGCCTTGCTTCAGTCTAGGCCAAAAATCCGAAGACTTTGGCCTCTTCGGTCGAAGTGAAGCGAATCTGACAACACTGGTTACAAGTTGATTGGTTGATTTTTCGCTACATGTAAACACTTCTTTATACTTGTTTTGTGGTACTTGCATACCTCCCCAGTGAAAAGTAAATTCTGTTTACTGAATTTGGAAGAGAATGATAATACTAGTTTTTTCTTATTCTTGAAATGCTTAATTTGGGGTTTCGGGCTGCTCACTTAGTGGTTAGGGTATAAGGGGGACCTCGAAATAGAAAAGCTTTAACCTATCAGTTATCTAGTTGCCAATTTGGGAGCTAATACAATAGGCAATTTGGTTACTCCGGAAATTGAATAAGCTCACTTTGAATGATAGCAATTGATGCGACTCTTGAGGAGAAAACTATCATCCTACCTGGATCAGATTGATGTGACCCTCAAGGAGAAAGCCAATCTCCCTAGAGCAGATATACCATAGTCTTCGCCTTGTCTTCACCTTGCTCTTGACTGTAAACCCATGCCATGATGCCTTGTGCCTCTCAAGTGTTTCATGAGATTAGCTCTATTTTTGAGATTTACGTAATGCCTACATAATGTCCAACTTATTTTTTTTTTTAACATAATGTCCAACTTATTTATAATTTTTTTTTGAAGTGTGTAACTTTCATAAATGGACACTCTGGGTATGCTCACGATCAGTTATCCATTTACCTGTGAGCAATTTGTATGAAGTATACAAGTAAGCAGAAAAGTTTGGTTTCTATGAGAAAATGGGTCAAAATCAAATGATACAATTGTGCACATGGGGTTAGATTCACATGAGCGTATATAGGCACTGAAGATCAATGTCAGTCGCAATGAGTTTGAATCTTGGTTCAATTCTTTTTCCCATAGAATTTGATGTGCAAAAAATAAAGAAACCCTCTAAACCAAAACAAGTTACTAAGAGCTTTATTGAAACATGACATTCCTAGTTCTTTTGGATAGAATGAACACTTTGGGGTTAACTTGGTGAGTGGTTTGAATCCTATACTCAGTTACTCACCATTTCCCATGAAAGGGATGAAAGAAAGAACAGTAGATACATGATCATAACAACAACCACGACAACAACCCTTAGTTTTCTCATTATATGAAGAAGCAGTCTCCCAATTGATTGTCTGCTTAAATTTTGGTGACACACTGAATTGGAGATATTTTAAATCACCACAAACAACAATACGAAGCCTTATGGTGTGAATTGTGGCGTCCCATTGGAGCCTATTAGTAGTTCTTGTTATTAAATCACCTAAATGATCTCCATAATGTGTTTAAAGTTCCTTTCAGAAACTAAATTTTGAGTATGGTGCACAATTAAAGATTACTATATGGGAGAATCTTGTACCTGTGAACTTCGAACGTGAAATCATGTTCTATATCAGCAATTAATAACTTTAACCCTCTCCTGGGGGACATGCTGAAATGTGACTTCCAATGCCCTAAGATCCACGGTTAGTCTCCTTGACGCATTGATGTTTTTTCACAGAGTGCCCAAAATCTCATTAGCTCATTGCATGACTGGGTCAAATTCAGCAGCTTATAGGCGCTTCATTGTGAAGAATGTGGAAGTTGTATTATCCTATATGATCACCTCGTACTGGATTTCTAGGTCATGTAAGGGAATTTCTGGATGGCGCCCAAAATGCATGGCATGTGTTTTGCTTTGTAGGTGATGCTTAGAATATGTATCAGAGGCTGTGTTTGAGAAAAAAAATTAGACAATTCTAGTAAATGCGATAGCAGGCTTTTTTTGTTGTTTTTTGTTTGAAACTCATTATGGAAACTTACATGAACACGTACAGCCACAGAAAAGCTATATTTCTGCTGCATAAATGAATAATAAATGGAAAGAAGAGGCTATAAAAATCAGGAGGGGCAACATTAGCTGCCTGCATTGCTTTGGGTCGTTTACCTCTCTTTTTTCTTTGGTTTTTTCTCTTCTTCTTATTGAACAGTAATTTGGCCATTTTCTTGGCAATGGAGAAAGAGGTTTTGGGCTCTTTATATCTCTCAGCTTGGACAAATGTTTTGTGGTTTTGTTGTGAATAGCGTGAAATTTTGTGATTTCTGCATTGACAGCTCTATGTTGACTTTCAAGGTTTGTTTTGCAGTGGTTGTTTTCCTTTGTTGGGTTCTTGAACAAAAAGCATGTGAAATGATTTTTCTATTAGCATTTTATTTGCTCCTTGCTTCTCATCCTACTCCAATTATGATGTATTTTCTCCAGCCTTCTGTGACCCCTCCATTGGTTCTAGAAAGCCATTATCATCCACCACCACGCTCTGCACCTGTTTATCATCAACCAAACACAAATAATTCAAATTCATCTACAAACCAACAACAGGTGGCAGTTGATGATGTATTCCCCGAAAGGCCTGGGGAACCCAATTGCCAATATTACATGAAAACAGGAGACTGTAAATTTAGATCATCCTGCAGGTATAATCATCCGAAGGACAGGGTCCCAACAAGCTCACCCATGTGTAGCTTCAGTCCCATGGGCCTTCCTTTGAGACCTGTAAGCAGTCTTATTGCCACTCTTGTTGTCTCCTTAATATGTGTCTGTGTGTGCATGGACGTGTGTGTGTGTGTGATAGAGAGAGTTATCTCATCTGTTTTTTATATGAACATCTTTGGTGTTTCTTTACGATGCAGGATCAACCTGTATGCACTCATTACAGTCGCTATGGCATTTGCAAATTTGGACCTGCATGCAGGTTTGATCACTCATTAAAGAACGCTTGGGTTTCTGCTGGAGGGGAGGCTGGAGAGCAAGAGGCCACACAAGAAGATGGGACTGCCGCCTCACCCCCACTGTCTCCTTCTTGAGATATTCTTGGACGCTTATTTATCATGAAAATGCATAATGTTAATGTGTACATAAGGAGAGGGTGAGAGTGGGAGAGAGAGAGAGAGAGGAGAGAGTTTCGATAGTTGCTTGAATTCACTCTATTTGAGAATTCTGAGCCATCTTGTGTTGAACCAGATCGAACACTCATGGCTGTTTTTGGACTGCAGGATCTTTCATTTTCTTTTCTTTCGTATCATATCCTTTTTGGGCTTCTGGCTAATGGTTGAACAAGAACACTATTGATAATTGGTAATAAAGGGTGATGAATTGGACTTAAATGCTATGTTTGTGGCTCCGCTCTCTCTCTCTCTCTCTCCCTCTCTCTCTCTCTCTCTCTGATATGAATGTATCTCTGACTTATGGTATTGTTTATAGGCACTTGACCCAATTGAATTGATATTGGTTTGTACGCACTCCTCTTCCTTGCATTCACACTCCCTCATGCAAATAGGGATTAGATTTAGGGTGAGAATCTGAAAAAATCACCTTATCATGTTTTCTATATTAAATGTATAGGGTGCTTGCTGGCATCTAAATAACTACGAAGTTTGGACTTTTTTTTAATAGAAATAATGTTTTTAACTTTTAAAATTTATTTATTTATTCATATTCAGGATGTCCATGTTAGAGATTACATTTCCTTAAAAAGGAAAATTGTTTGATAGTGGTTGGACTGCATTTGTACACATGCAGTCCAAAAAGTGTAAAGAGATGGATGCAAGTAGGTGTTCCATCTAAAAACAATGGAAATTAAATAGTCCAAATGTTTTTTATTAGAATTATTATTTTTCTATTTTTTAAAATTTATTCATTTATTCATATTCATGATCTCCAGGTTAGAGATTACATGACCTTAAAAATTAAGTCGTAAAATTCATCTCAAAAATAGATTTATTAAGGGACCCGTATTTCTACATACGCGGGCTTGGCCGCATAGAAATCGGGTCCCTTTAAAAAATAGGTCAAAAAATCCTACTCAAAAGTAGATTTCCAAAAGGTGAATCATTTCTACATGGACTCATAGAAACCATGTCCACAGATTTTTAGGATAATTCCAAAAATGTTTTACAATAAAATTAATAAAATTTAGAGGTGAGCCTTAATTGGATTGTTTAAAGTAGCAACCTTATAGAAACCACACTCAAAAAGTTTATAAAAGATTGCAACCTTAAAATGTAGAATCACAAATGCACCTCAAAAATCTATCGGAAATGTTGTTTTAATGTTGAAAAACCCTCTAATTGATCGTTTCAACATCGAAATGTATTAATATGAAAAAAAAAAATTAGAGTCCCAAAAAATAGTGCATCTTGCAACACATTATCTAGATCCGTCCATTTTCAAGATTTTCATATATTTATAGATCTATTTGATTATAATCATTTTTTAAATATAAAATTTTCTAATTAGATATAAAAATAGATTTTAAGATAATCCTAAGAAATTATTACAACAAAATTATATGTTATAATAAAATTTAAAGTGCGCCTTGATTGAATTGTTTAAAGTTGCAACCTTGTAGAAACCACACCCATTAACCATTCATCGTTGTTCAATCTTTATGTTCTTCTCTGTCTTCCAATCTTTAAGTCCAGCGATCCAACCTACTTTGTCCATCTCTCTTTTTCAAACACATTTTCTCTCAACCCTATTACCCCAAAGGCATCTGCCCTCTTTTAGAACAATCCCAACTCTCACTACCAACAATACCGCTCTCTTACCATTATCATTATCACCGTCAAAGCTTTTTTCCAATTAATTAGGGCCGTTACCGCTCCCTTATCATCTCAACTCTTTTTAGGCATCTCTCAAACTCCTCTCTTTTTCAAGCTTATTTTCACTCTAAACTCCACCATTACAATATCCGCTCTCTTCTACCATCTTTCTGTATCCCAGCTCTCTAATACTACCTCCATTGCCTCTTTGAAATATGTTCTAATCATAATCCCAAGTTGGCCTTTGAACATCTTTGATTGTTATTGTATTTTGTTTTTAGATTTTATTTTACAAATCATTTTTACGCAAGATTTAGGGGGGCCCCACTTGTTATAGAAAAAATTTCCGTTAAAAATAACAAGAAAGCCCTGGCAAGTTGTAGGGGTATTTTGATCGTTATTTATAAATATTGTGTTTTTTTTTTTATTTTTTATGCTAAGTGCACCCCCTATAAGGAATTGGCCAGGGTTATATTTGTTATATATAAAAAAATAAAAAATGACACCACATTACGATTGAACCCATCTACTTAGATTGAACCAATATTTTAAACCAAAGCTTTCTATGCTTTCCCTACAACATAGAAGTTCTATCCTCCTCTTTATCCAACCATTCATTTTGAATGGAGGGTTAAGATTGCCCCAATCACAATGTCAAGTTTTTATATTATTTTATTTTTAATTCTTTCTATAAACTATTTTGACACTAAATTTTGGATGTCCGTATCTCTATTAAACTCGCACTAGCGAAAAATATAAAAAAAATATTTTCAATAAAATAAAATGATCAAAATACCTTTGAAAGTTTCAAGGGGTATTTTCATCATTATATTTTATCAAAAAATTATTTTTAATATTTTTTATAAGTGCGCCCCAATGAGAAGATGTCACCTACCAAATTTCATATCCATACAATTTGTATAAAAAAAATTAAAAATAAAATACTTTGAAACGTCCGATCTAAGATCAAACGGTGAGTGACTCTCTTGATCAAAATTGGACAGTTGGATGGTAAGGGGAGGATAGAACTTATATGCTGTAGGGAAAGCATAGAAACCTTTCCTATATTTTAAAACTTGTTTATCACTAATTTGGATAGAAATCTAATCAATCTAATCAAGATAAAAATCGGTATGAGCTTGAACTAGTTTTGAGATGGTATAGTTCTGAAATGGTATGGTCCCAACCTGGTTTCCCCCTCGAATCGCCCCCTTATATAACTTTTGTCTTTTATAAGTTGTCTAATGTTTTTTGTATTAAATCCCCCTAAATCTCCCCCTATAAACTCTTTTTTAAATTTTACTTACTTATTACTATTTTTGGAACACCAATTCAAAATTGATTCAAACCCAATCCAAGTTGCCAATCCAGTGACCTATCATGGATTTGTGGCACACCTTACTTATCCAAGTTTAAAACACTGAATCGACTTGTTAATAGCTCTCTCACACACACGTGTGCACATACGCATGTATAATTTACATTTAAAATAGGGTGTGGTTTATATAAGGTGTCAACCTCAAACAATCCAATTAAGACACACCTCCAAAGCTCATCGAAATATATAATTTTGTTATCAAAAATTCTAATAACGAAAAAAACTCAAAAAAATGGTACAATTTTGCTGTCAAATATTCTAATGACTTAAAAAACTAAAAAATGGTATAGATTGAACATATCAATAACCACATGAAAATCCTGAGAATAACCAGTCTAGACAATATTTAACAAGACGTGGTTTTTATACATTAATTTTTTTTCAGCATCCATTTATCAATTAGAGATTTTTCATCATCAAAACAACATTTTTCTATGGATTTTTTCGACTTTACATAAACTTTTTCCTTTAAAATAACAATGGGGAATGAAGTATGCTGTTTATTCACCTCACACTTGAGAGATCCCATTTCTTCCAAAGAAGTGAAAAAATCTCATATGATTGTCCTCTTTAAAAGAACGAATTTCTATAGACAATAAATAGAGAATGAATAGCACAATTTTAAAGTTCCTGCGGATCTATCATGTGAGAGAGAGCAGTTTAACGTGATTTTTTTTTTGACAAATATTCTTACTTTTATTGATAATTACAAAAAGAAAAATTACATTATTAAAGACGACAAGCAAAGGTAAAAAAATTTCACCCTTAGTCAAAGGGTCAAGCACATTGTTCCCTTCACGATAAACATGAAAAAAGAAGAATGACAGAGTAGCTACGAGATTATAGCTAAGAGAAATCATGGTTAAACTCATAACATTAATCTCTCAACGTGATTTTATTCTAGAAAAATAGCTAGTACCACCCAAAACTTTATTACGGTTAACATAACTGAAACTTCTAAATGCTAAATCCAGTAGGAAATGAACCAACTTTGAACCCAAAACCATATCCATTATTTATTTTTCATAATATCAAATACATGATTCAGACCAGGAGAAAGAAAATAAAAGAATTTGATTCTCATGGTCCGAGTGAGATCCTTTAAAAGAACTTCCAACCAGCCTTTATAACTCACAGTTCTCAAGCTTTTCTCTCACTACATGAAAGCAGGAAAGATATATAAAAGGGGAAAAACAAGGAAGGAAGAGTCATGGCATTACATAATGCACTCCTCCAGTGAGGCCCAAAGTCCCAAACATGAAAGACAATCCCCAAAATATATGGCCTTCATGGAGACAGTAAAACTACACATAGAGAGAGAGAGAGAGAGCACCATGCTGGGGATTCATGGCCTCCATAACGGCCCACTCTTTCTGCAACCACATTCATATTTATCAAAGAACGCAGCAAAACCACTTCTTCTGCAACCACATTTGTAATCATTAGATGACTGGATATGCAAAAACACAACACATGCCCCTATGCATCAAAGCTAGCTATGCATCGCAATGATTTTGTGACCTTAGAAATAGTGGCATAAAAATCAGCTAAAAATGACTATTAATAAGAAAAATAATTTCCAATTAATTTGCAAGAGATAGCATGTAGCCTAATAAACCATGGGCAGTTGAATTCAATTAAACACAGTTAAGAAAAATCTGCTTATCGAACATTGAGCATCATCATCATAGCCTTTTCTCAACTATTTAGGTCCACTACAAGAATCTTGGGATGTCATTCTGCTCTATCAAGGGCAATACCCCCAGTGAGGCCATAAGTCTAATATCTTTTCTAACTATTTCCAACCGTATCCTTTCGAGCTTATTTTTGTTTTTTTGAGCTTTTCACTTGAACAGACTCACACCTCTTAAAAAGTACTGTACTGGGTCTTTGCTGCATATGGTCAAGCCCACCTAAGTCTACTATCTTTCATTTTATCACCGATTAAAGCCACACCTAAGTTCTCCCGAATATATGCATTTCGAATTCTATCCCTTCTGCTCTTCCCACTCATCCATCTCAAAATCCTCATCTCAGCTACACTCATCTTATGGGTATATTGTTTCTTTACCGCCCAACATTCTACCTCATAAAGCAAAGTTAGTCTCACAACTGTCCTATAGAACTCTTCATTTGGCTTCATTAATACGCAGCGATCACATAAAATTCCGAGTTGCACATCTCCACATCACCCACCCAGCTCTAATTCTATGTGCGACATCTTCATCAATCTCTCTATTTTCTTTGATTATCAATTCAAGATATCGAAAGTGCGCTCCTTTTGGCATTTCTTGGCCGTCAAACTTAACTACTCCTCGTCTCTACTCCTATTATTATTAAACTTGCATTCTATATACTTTGTCTTAGTCCGGCTAATTTTAAAACCTTTAGATTCTAGAGGATACCTCCAAAGTTCGAACTTTGTGTTGACGCAGATTTATGTCGCATCAATCAAAGCTATGTCATCCGCGAATAACATATACCACGGTACCTCATATTTAGATACTGAGCATGATACAAGAAATTTGGCTAAAAGGTATATAATATTAAATCAAGGGAAAGTGTATAATGTGACCTATACTAAACACCATGGAAATCGGAGTCATAAGCATTAAATCCCCTAACATGATCATTTCATATAATAAGGTCCTCAAAATACCTTTTAATTCAATGCCATGAAAACTTTGGATAGAAAAGACTATCACAGGTTTTATAGTTCTAATAAATATGAATATATCTAAATCAATTTTAAAAGCATACGCTCCTTCATGCATACTTATGTCGAGGCACATCCTATTCTAATTTCTAATCCAAATAAGAAACATAGGAAAAAAGGCAATTACCATAATAGAAAAGTATTAACTGTAATAGTTTGTGTATGGTACAAAAGCAAGGTTGAACGAGATATACTCATGACTTACTCCAGATTTACTAGGATAAGATGCCTCTTGTTTAAAACTGGTTTCACTTTTCCTTGGTGATTCTGAAGTCCCAGAATTACCACCTGTCTTCTTCTCATCCCTGGCCTTGTTAAATATGACAGTAAATCCTTCAGCTGAGGCAGGATTGTTTACATCCCACTCCCCAAACTTGGGCAAAGGCACACCCTTATCTTGCTGCACATGGATAAATAAAGTTTATAATCATTCCTACCAAATGACAGTTTATAATCATTCCTACCAAATGACACAAACTGTTTTTCAATAGGTATTAAAAACAATTAAAAAAAAAGAAAAAAAGAAAAAAAGTACTGAACCATGCTGATCAAATGCAAAGCAGTTCTCAAATGCACTAGATTCATAACAAAACCCAACATCTTCCAGATCTTCATTTGGATAAGTAGCCAAGCAGTTGCAACCAAATCTTAAAAAGTATTCGAGTTCTACCTGATATCCTAGAAACCTAGTAGTCACAACCATGCATCTTACTAGAAAAATATCATGAATGAATGGAAAGCAGAAAACACATAAGATTATTTAGCAATCAAGCTCAAAAGTTTTGTATGTTCACCATCCTATTTTTACACAAGCATGGTTATATTGCATTTCTTCACTAATCCCCAATTAGCCATGATGACAATGCTTGGCTGCTGCCTGGCACTGCAACCAAGCACTGCTCTCTCTCTCTCTCTCTCTCTCTCTCTCACACACACACACACACACACACACACACGACGAACGTAACGTACGTACGTTCCTTTCTTTTTACTTTACTACTACTACGTAACGTAACGTAACGTACGTACGTACGTACGTACTACTTACGTTCGTACGTACG